ACGGACGTATATTCTGGCGCTTAGTCGAGAATATATCTACTGGGTGTTTCCCATCGAAGTTTGTTAGATTATTATTACGTCTTTGAAAAATTATTTGTCGAGAATAATTAATTTATTTAAAATTTCGAATTATTTTTTGATGATTAAATTAATTATTATAATAATTTATATTATTTATATAAATTATTTAATTAACGTTTTTGTAGGCTTTTAAATGATTTTAAATATTTTTTGAATTTTCTTGTCATTGTAATTAATAATAGTAGTAATAATTTAGCCTTTTTACTGTAAAATATTGAATATTTATGATCCAAAGGTGAGTTTTGACTACATAACTTTTATTTAAAATAAAAATTATCAAATTTGCCAATTTAAATGTGCACACAGATCAATAATAAAATATTTCAACCAAATCCCAAAAAAGAAAAAAATAATCGAAATTTTATTACGAACACCCATGTTAAACCTATTCAAATTATAATATACAATTATTCTCTATGTAGTTAGTAACATTTTTACATCTACAAATCATCTTTGTATTCTCTACTAAGTTATACTTAACTTAAAAATTATTAATATAATTTATATTAAAAATTGATCACAATCATCTTTAAACGAAGCTGTTAAAAATAAATGTTAAAAATCAATTTGAATAACATTCTCACGATAATTATTACTCGATACCACATTAAGTACACGTAATTCAAATGACAAGATAAAAAAAGATAAATCATATGGTTGTGCTTGAAATGTTACCACTCGTAAATATATATATACGTGGATGTACGTACACCGAGTACATGTACACTCTTACTTGATCTTACTGAGCTAGCGGGTGGTCCTCATTATGCTTGCCGTTTCCCCCCTAACCCCTCTCGCCTGTCCTATCTATTTAACGTATCGTTTGCCATGGTAACCATCCAAATTGGACCATCATTCTTTCTCTCTCTTTCTCTGTCTCTCTTTCTTTTCAACGTCAAGTTCACTACTCTCAATCTTCTGCCTTATTTAATTATTAAAAATACAATTTTTATACAAACACTTTCATTTCCTTTAATAGAAAACACTCGGTATTTCCTGTTAAAATTCACCTCAACATTTAAAATTAAAAAACTGAAAACAAATGCTATTAAATTTTTCCAGATTTACTTACGCAACTTCAAATAAAATTAACAAAGTTAATAGGCATTAGACGATCTATATTGAATTATAATACATTCAAAATTTCGATGTTCTCTTTAAAATTTCAAAAGCGTAGTAGATGAAAATTTCGTATAAAACCTAACAAAAAAAAAAAAAAATAAAAAATTACAGTAAAAAAAAAAGAAAAAAGAATCGACGATATTTTCATGAACATTTGTTTCTTTATTTTATATACTCACAAAATTGTAATAGATCGCAAAGGTAGGTAGATAGGTAGGTAGGTAGGTAGGTAGGTAGGTAGGTAGGTAGGTAGGTAGGTAGGTAGGTAGGTAGGTAGGTAGGTAGGTAGATAGAAAAGTTTTCTTTCTCCTTTCCTGATATCTCTTTTCTAACGATCTCGAGGAAAGAAAGAAAAGCAGGTCGACAACTCGATTCCGGCCTCTCCTTTCTATCTTGGCATCAACCTAACGTGGATTAAAGTTAAACGTTTTATTTTATCCTTATTAGCTTTGATCGGCAAGCTAGCTCGGCTTTAATTAACTGCTAATCGAACGGTCGATTAAATTAATCGAAGGAAAGAGATATTATCGTTTGAAGAGAAAAGAAAGGATGAAAGGAAGAAAGGAGAAAAAGAAAAAAAAATGAAAAAGAAGAAAGTTAAGAAAAAGATCAAGAGAAAGAGTAAGATTTAAAGTACTGATGTTAAATCTTAGATTGGAAAGATTTTGACATTGCACCGATAGGATAGTTATCTTAACTTTCCTCTTTTCCCTTACGTTTTAATATCTTCTTTCTTTCTTTTTTTTTTTTTTGTTACTTCTTTCCTTTTCTATTTTTAATAGTTACAGTGGATGCAATCGGACAAGGCGAATTTATCAAGCGAGAAAAGCGGGGATTGATGCGTTCGCGGAAGTGGATTCGAAAGTCAATGGCCTATAAACGTTAATACCACGCTGAGTAACGAAAGATAGCGAAGTGCTTTGTTACGGGACTTTATGAGCTCCTTTATTGCATCTCGCGATTTCTTAGCGATCGCCTTAGTCGCGAATGTGACTTGCGAAGCTACCCGTAATAATATTCTCTCAAGATAAATTCTATTGTTCGAGACCAAGAATAACCAAGTAGTACATCCCCATGACAAACCTTTTGAGTACTTATTATTGAAACTAAAAGATGAATAAACGAATAGAAATTGATCTTGACTAATTTTCAAATTCTATGACAATAGAATGAACGTTGTGATAATCCTATTAACTATTTTTTATTCTATTTAATAATAATATATTCAAATAATTTATGTTTGATTTAATAGATTATAAATTAGTATGAGTATAGTTGGTAATGAATAAGAAAATTCTTTGAATGTTCCAAATAAAACATTTCTAAGAAATAAATTATATTATATTATTTCTTAAAGTACTTGAATTGAAACGAAAAAATAACGAGAAATCTTATATAAATGAGACTTTTGATCATCAATTTAAAAAACCACACCATTTTTAAAAACCACAATTTAGAAAAGACAATCTAAATAATTAATAAAAAAATAAGAATCTAAAATATGTACTCGTACGATAAGTTCATAAAAAGAAATTTTCAATTGTCTAGATGTGTATTCAAGAGATTTAGGAAGTGATATTGAAAAAAAGAGAGCAAGAGAAGAAAGTGGGTAAAATATGAGAAAGGATGAAGAACAATCATAGTACGAGGAGAGGTTTAATCAAAACTATACTTCCGTTCGTAGGAACGTATCATACATAGATGCACATATATCTCAAAAGACTGACTTCGAGTCCCTCCATCAGTTGAAAAAGCCCTTTGATTTGTTACAGGATCGATAAACGAACCGTACAAGAGTATAAAGAGTAACAGAGATAGACAGATAAATTGCGGAAAGATAGAAATAGTGACGAGAGGTGTCATAGAGGTAGGTAGGTAGTAGAGACTCCGGTGTGTTAGCCGACAACAGCAACGCTCGGAAGTTCGCGCGATGAAATTTACGGCGAGAGCCAATTCCCCCCTCCCCCTCTCCTCCTGCCTCTTGCCAAATGGAAGAACGTCCACGACGAGGTTTTATTCGTTTACGGCTTATCGGCACCCCTCTCTCAACGTGCACCTCCCCTACCCTAAACCCATCTCTCCCCTCTCTGTCTCTCTTTTTCAGCTTCTCTTTCTCTCTTTTTTTCGTTGGTTGCACCCAACAGCAACCCTCTCTATCGAGACTCATTTGTTTTTGCTTATCGCAAAAGTTAGCTCGGGTGACACGTGAGGGTGCCATCGTAAATATGACGGACGAAAGGCTGTTACTACTATGTTTGCTTGCTTGAAATAAACCAACAGAGAAGGTGATAGCCTGTTAGAATCTCAGTTTTTAGCAGAGGAGTAGGGAGAAGAGATGGAACAAGAGGGGGATTTGGTTTGGTCGTGTTTCACTTATATAGAAGGTTGAAAAGAGAGAATGATAGAAATAGAAAACACCACACTCAACGACGTCCGAGTTCTGATCAATATTTCCCCACCTGGTCTGTCCAAATCCCTGGTAATGAAGTTAACTTCTTTTATGGTTGAGTATTTTAGTTGAATATATCTTAGGATATACTTTAGGTAGAATAGAAATAGTCGAGACACATGGTTTTTCTTAGAATTCGCGGGACGAATTTACCAAAGAATCGCGTGATAGAATGAGTAACTAGTTTCTATCYGACTAATATAGAGAGAAAGAAAGAAAGAGAGAGAAAAAGAGAGATATCATTTTCTTATCTTCTCGTTTAGCTTTTGATGGTCGTTAAAAGGACTGACGTGTATATGTGTATGTAATTTTCTGATCGTACTGGGATCTCGATTTATTGTGTCGATTAGGGTTTACGGCTGCCAAGTTTTAAGGGGTGCTACTGAACGATCGTTAAGCTTTATTATTATGTCGAATCCATTTGAAGTGTTGAATCGTAATGTTTGATCTTCCATCGTATCTATACACACGATTTCATAATTATTTCATTCACATATCGACATTAACATGAATTCTAATTAATATGACATTTAAAAATGTTTCCAGAAAAAATCCATCATTAATTATAATTTTAACCCTAACACTTTAGTAAAATTACCATTTTACAAAAAGCTTGGTACGATTATATCGAAAAAATGTTCTTCGCCTAGACTCCATTTGATTTTCTTTCCTTTGACCTTTTTTTCTTTCTTAATCGCCAAGCCTAATTGGTCAATTACGCTCATTACCGTTCCCGACGTAGGAAGGCGAACTGCCCGATTAAATCTCTCTCTTTCTCTCTCCTTCTCTTTCTGAACGCATCACTCTTCACCCCTCGCTCTTTAATCCCTTCCATCCCCTCCATCATCACCATCACTACCACTACCACCACCATCGGATCCGTTGCAGTCGCATTTGCATCAGAAAATCGAGTAGTATTATGCTGGAAAAATATATATATAGCCTAACAGCCTTGGTTTGCTAACATAAACTCCGTCCACAAGTAGGCGGAGCCATTTTAGTAAAGCCTCCATTGATGGAACGAAGCCTCGCCCTGTTTCTACTCTCTCACTATATCTTTCTCTCTATCTCTCTTATTCACCCCTATTCCCCTCGTCACATATCCCTTCCTCATCCTCCTTGTCTGACTCTAACTCCCACGTCCCCACTCCCAAACATTTGCTTCCAATCCCCCTCCCGTTGGAGTAACCCTCCACGTCGTATTTCTCCCTTCTCTTTCTTCCTCATACATTTGGACTCTTTCCTGCTCCCTTCCACGTTCCCATCAATTCCCCCACCATTAGTCCAGTCGCTGCAGGATGCAAAAAGAAAAAGTCCGGTTTGGTGTTGGCAGAATGCTCTAAGTCAGTCTACACGGAGAGCTCGACTCGTTCGGCGGCTGTTCGCTAGGTCAGCTGGTAGTGATCTCATCATCGATCCTTGTAGACAGCTGTCAAAACGAGTGACAACGTAATATAATTATTACCTGACGATATCATCATTCACATTTATTTATCTGTCTTAGCTGGTTTTTAATTCGATCAGTCTTATATAAACAGGGATTAGCTTTAGTGTGATTTCTCAAGGTGATATATATGCAATATACATAGACATATATACATATATAGATCGTAAAGACTGTTTGATCGATTCGATCGTTTTTAATACAAATCAAGGTTCATTGAAGACTCAAAAAAAAACCAAAGAAAAGACGAGGAAGTTTACGATAACTCGTGATGAGTTATCGCAAAGTCTGAAGGTTCAATAAGTTAAACGCGATCAAGTGAAATCAGAGTTTAAGAATGACAGTACTAAGGATGACCTCGCCGGTGACGCCTCCATCGACCAGTCCAGGATCGGCCGACGAGGCACAAGCACCGCAACCTAGTGCCAGACCAGCTCATCGATTGAGTTTTTCCGTGGCCGCATTATTAGCGGACACTATAAAATCACCGGAATCATCCAGGAGGCAAGACCCTTTAAAGATTAATTTGGAATCATCACCGATCTCATCTTATTCATCGGTAGATCAAGATCTCCTGACGACGGTAACTTCAAATAACACATCTTCGAAATATCCTAGTGATCTACGAACGAACAGATACAATCTAACAGCGTCACCTAATTCAGATGCTAAAACACCACCTTATACATGTAATTCGCCACGAATTACATCAGAAATAAGAACACCACCTTCGAGATACACAGAAATAGAATTAGGCTTAGAATCACCTACGGAAAGATGCACGTCTTATGGGACAATTGATTATAGGATCAGAACCAACAGCGATTCTGCTACTTCTTCGGATACCGTGTTACTCAAATGTTCAGTACCATCTCCTAAAACAACGAACAATTCTCAAAGAGATTATGGTTCTCAGTCACCAAGAAGTAGTTCTCAAGAGGAAGGAAGATCCAGGTGTTCCGAGATCGAAGATATCGATGATGACGATGAAAATAGTCTCGTAGATGTTGAAGATCTTCAACAACATCCATCCAGTCCTACACCAGTTAGACCTACTCCTGCTTACGTAGCTGGTTTCTCAACGTTAGGAAGCATTCCTGGTATTCCACCTGGTCTTCATCCTACCGTTTGGGGCTCTGGTCATCATGCTGTTGCTGCTGCTGCTGCTGCCGCTGCTGCTACGGCATCATTTTTCCCTTCTCATTTCGGTCATCATGCTCCTTTAAACGGTAAGTTCATTTTATCTTTGTTATTTCTTTTTCTTCGTTTTTTGTTCTAAATTCAATTTGAATCGTTCGCAATTAGTCGTGGAGAATCACTGAACGCGTTGAAACACACCATTTCCAAATATTCTTTGAACTTTGGCTTGATTCCAATTGCACTTTTTCTTTTTTTGTTTTTGGATTATTTTACTTGTTCGAAACTAAGAGCATAAATTTCAATGGTTAAAGTCAGTTCAGATCTATTATTTAACTATCTTGTAAACCCATTTTACGATTATAGAACTTACAATTTTATTTTACTACTTTGATTATAAGTTTTTAGAATTAATTGCATATTATTTTGAGCTTGTTATAATTAATTTTTCGATGAATATTTTAAATTCGACTAAATGAATTAATTCAAAATTTTTTTAAAATTAAATTCAAACATGAAATTGATAGAAATAGTTAAAACAACAATAGTATATATATATATATAAAATTAATTTTACAAAAACCGAATGAACTTGAACATATAAAAAAATAAAATTTATATGTCCTTCATTGTTATAACGTAAGTAAAAGAAACCTGAGAATTCATTTAAAATAAAAAGTATCATCTTTACAATATTAATTATTGAGGTCAGGGTTTATTGATCGAGCAAAATACTTTTGTGAGATCAAATGGAAGGGGGCAAGAGGGCGAGGTCAAGTGTGCAATGATCGTGCATGGCTCTTGTGGGGTTTTGAATTTTGGTATCGAGACAATGTTAAAGATTATGAGGAAGAAGGTACTTCCGGTAACAATCGAAAGGTCATCGTTGGAAAAAAATCGATTGGTTGGTTCAACTAAAAATGCTGACCACGCTTCTACCTTGCGATAGCCTACCGTCGCATCGCGTTTAACATGTTTGAACGTAACAAACCCCAGATAGGTTTTTTACACTTTTTTTTCTTTATATTATTTATTTTCTTATTTTTTCATATTTTCTCATTTTTGAGAGACAGATGATTTTTTTTTTTACTTGCTATAAGAAATTTAATCAAGAATGATAAAATACTTTTACGAATGAATTAAAATGATATTAATTGCATAAGTAGTACGATAAAATTACATAAGACACATTAAATATAATGCATCTCTCGTTAAAATGTATTCTTGAGAACATAACTTATCTTAATAAATTATTAAGTATATTAATGTTTTCTTTTTTATTAAGATACTTGATTTTCCAATAAATAATAATAATTTATAATAATTAGTAACGTTTCTACTATCTATCTCTCACTATCTTTTTTTTTTTTTTAAATTTATTCGAGGATATAATATAACCGTGTGTTAGGGTAATCGTTATAAATTTGTTCATACGAGAACCCTAGGAATAGGACGCGTAAATCATAATTTTAAAATATGAATCATACATTATAACTTTTCACACCCTCTCATCTTCAATTTCTTACCAAACTTTATTTCCTAAATTTTGGAGAGAAGTAGCAAACACTTCTCGAGTAAAATTACGAGATGAAACTTTAAAAAATTCATATCTGTTCAAAAAAAAAAAAAAAGAAACGTGAGTTAGTCCGTCATTTTAAAGATGATAAATTTTTAAAATCAAGAAGAAAGTGATTAATAACTGTCTATTAAAAGAATAAAAATAACCTACCTTGTATCGGTCATTATAAAAATAACATAATGAATCGCACAAATGAATAAGAAATATTGCATCAATTTAATGATTTTTAAAACGGACAATAAAAGGAAGTATTCGTAACGTATTGATTAATCCAATAGAACGATATCCATCATGAAATCTTTTCTTGGATCGAATCGATCGAGAAATAATCACCGTAGAGGATCGAGTCGTTCATATTATAGCCGATAGTTATGCAATTCGAACAAAGGATGTGAAAAGCAGAGAAACCTCGCATCTATTTTCAATCGTTGATGTATACAGCATCAAGATAATCTTTGCTTTCTCGTTATTAGTTATATCAACTACATTAGTAGTTAATTATTTCGAATGTACATACTCGTACCGTTTTTTCGAATTAAAAAAATTTCCAATTTTTTTATTTTTTACTCTTATTTACCCCCCCCTTCGTCGACTGTATGCAACGAATCAACGAACGAATGGATAAAAAAAAGACATATAAAGAAGCCAAAAACAAAAGAATAAAATAAAGGAGGTAAAGAAAAATAAAAAAATAAAAAAGAGAAGGAAGAAAGATCCACGAATTCGGAGAGACTAATTGGGACCCTTAGGTCTCCCTGAAGGAGAAGAGGAAGCTCAAGTATACAAACGCGTTTAGAGTAGTAGGAGGAGAATACAACACAACAAGGAGTACGAGGACTGATCGTAAGTCCTCCTACCGTACAACGGAATCCTTGATTTTCTCTTTCTCTCTCTCTCTCTCTCTCTCTCTCTCTCTCTCTCTAAAAAAGATGCGAAAGAGGATCGAGTAAAGGATGTTCCTTTAGTAAACCAACCAAAAGGACGATCTCAGTAGAGAAGAAGAGTAAGGGCTGGGGATGAGGTAGGGGGTGATATGGTGCTGAAGACGGTGCCTGTCGAATTTGAAATTCAGAAACGACTACGATCCTGCTGCCTCTTTTGTTTCGTATAGGTTTTTCTCTCTCACTCTCTTTCTCTTTCTGTCTTTCTCGTTCAGTTTGCCGCAACATGGACTCAACAAGAGAGCCGTTCACCTTAGCTCTACAAATCTGTCAATTGTCTGGAGACAAATCTTGTGGAATATAACCGATATATCCTTTGAAGAAGGAGAATGAGAATGAGAAAAGGAAGATGAGAGAAAGAAAGAGAAAGAGAGATAGAAGTAGATCCCAGTAGTTGTAGTAGTCCTACATTCCTACCTCAGCGTGTCTGTCCTCGCTGTTTCGAATCCTCCTCCATCTACTTACTCTTATCCCTTTTCTCCTTTTCTCCTTCTTCTCGTGTCATACGATTCGAACAACAAGCCCATCTTCTTCGACGAATCGTATACTACACACAATCTTCTTTTTCTTTACCTTTCTTTCTTTTTTTTTCTCTTGTCGAATCTTCTATACGTTTGTCGTAGAAATTGTTCACTAAGAATACAAAATAAAAGTAGAAATACAAATGTGTATATTTACAAATGTAATTTTATGTATTGGTATTTTATTTATAGTATTGATAAAGATGTAATTAATTTATTAAGTGCTATGTTTTAATAATAATATTTAATTACAATTTTATCTATCGAATTTTATTTCCAAAAAAATATATATGCTTTCAAAAAATATGTAAATTATAGTATATTAATTTGATGTAGAATAAATAACAAAATGTAGAATTATTCGTTATTTTGACTAAAAAATCAATATTTTACCATTAAAACTTAATTTCTTTTTATTACACGTCCATTTAATCTCTACAACGACTTACAATGTATTTTTAATTCTAGATTCGAAGAATACGATAAAAAGAAATCATACTTCGTGCAGATTTAAAAGGGAAATAGTATCTGTCGGAATAAATATTGGTTCAAGGGGGTACTAGTGTATATATATATATATATATATATATAATATGTAAATCTTATAATATGTATATGTTTTATTTCAATTGTTATTATACACGGTTATAAATTTCGTTCAAGATGAGACTCCACATCAGTGACGACGGGTATACATATTTATGCGTTACTAAATAGCACGCTGACGGAACGATTAAGTAGCGTGCTCGTACGCGCGGACAGCAAGGCGTTTGTCTTGCCGATTTTGCAACGTCCTTTTGCCGAGTAATTTATCGCGAATCATGGCACGCCGGTGTGCACACTGTTTACTGCCCGGATCGAACGAAGAAACGAACGAACCAACCATCGCCATTGATCGAAGATCCATAGAACTATAAAGTGATTTTCTCTCCTATTCTTTAATAATTTATCCCTTTCCTATCAAGACATTTGCGAAAAACGTAATGCAAAAAAAAAAAACGAAACTAAATCACATAAGCATTTATAAATATAAATAAATAAATTTAAATAAATAATTGTTTATTAATTAATTCAAGGCGTCATTGATAACAATATGTATATTTATAATGTACGTTAATTCATAAACAATATGTATATTTATAATGTAAGTTAATTCATTTTGATTAATATGTAATGTAAAATTACTCACCATGTTATTTTTGTTTTTTTATACAATATTATATTATAGTCGTTTTCTTGGTTACAGGAAAGAAGAAATTATTCTTTTATTAGTATTCATCGGTTTGAAAATAAAATATAGATCGGAAACGATCTTTCGATCTTTTTCTCACGATTTGACTGTAATATAGTTGATAGTTTTTATCAAGATCAACGAAAAAAAAAAATATATATATATATTCCGAAGCAAGAGGAAAGATCGGTTGCTAGGGTAGTTATTGCTCAAGCTAATAATCCCGAGTAAATTTGAAAAACGGCGGCTTTTTAGTTTTTCTCGTTCATCCGGTTAAAGAAATAAAGAAGGACAACAAGTACACGCGTTAAGTACTAGGTAACCGAGACAGGGTGTTTCTTCAAGAATAAAAAGTACGAGGTATAAAAGGAAAACAAAAAAGATCTAGGTCTTATAAACAGAAACAATACAACAAGCGGTGGGCCTCATCCGTGGGCCGGAATTTTGCGGTCGACCGACAAAAACGTAATGAGGCCAGTTTGCGGCGCCGTTCCGACGGAAAAATTATGAATCGACTATCTAAAGAAATGTAGAGGAAGATACACACTCTCTTTCTCTCTCTCTCTCTTTTGCTGTTCTTGTATTCTATAAAAATAAGAAGAGTCAACGGGCACGTTTCCCTTTCTTTAACCCCTTCCCAAAGCAAAAACAGGACATTGCGGTCGGCTCTCTTTCCACCTGGTCTCTCACCTTAGGCGTGCCCGGAACGCACCTCCAGACTCCTTCCAACACTCAAAAACGAACAACCTGTTGTTGTCCTATTCTATTTTATCCTAATGTTATTTTCTCTTTCTTATGTTACCTTACGTCCCCATCAAACTGTTCTTTCGTGCTTCTTAATCTTTAACGTTGTAACTACATGTGTTGGTATCTATTTATTCTTATCTTACACTTTTTCTTCTATCGTATTTACTAAATTAATTGGTCATTGTTTCTGGAATTGTTTAGGTTAGAGTAATTTATTTTTTTCCTCTTTTATATATAAAATTGAAAAATGGGTTCAAACGAAATAATAATGATTATTTTAGTGGTTATTTCTATCCTCGTAGATTACAAGATAAATTGAGTCATGCTATCTAAATTTAATTTATTCAACGTTTCACAACAAACATCCAAATTTAAGTTATCACAAACTAATTATATACAATTGCAATTTTGAATATAATTTAAGTAATATTTTTAATTTGTTTTTTTTTTTTTAATTAACTTTATGATGCGCAAAGATACCAGAAATTTTCAACGGAAATATAATTTATTTTTTCTTTTTTTTTTTTGGTAGAAAATGGAGAACCCGCAAAGATCAAATGCAACCTCAGGAAACACAAGCCCAACCGGAAACCGAGGACACCGTTCACGACGCAACAGTTGCTAGCCCTGGAGAAAAAGTTTCGTGAGAGGCAGTATCTCAGTGTTGCCGAACGAGCCGAGTTCTCGTCTTCGTTGCATCTAACAGAAACTCAGGTTGGTACTACATAAGTAAAGTCCCTTTTCGCAGAACTTCTAATGGTACTAGTCACGAAGTAATTATCTTGGCATTTCGTCAAGCGAGAAACACGTTTCTCTCTTGCTATTAATATCTTCCTCTCATCTTTTACTTCTTCTTTTTCGTGAGAGAATAGTATAGTTTTGTATCATTTTCTGTTACATTTGTACGACAATTTAAATGTTTGACAGCTGCTATTAGACTCGGCAAATGAATAAATAACGTTTAGGCTAATTTACAAAACATTGTAGCATATAGAAAAATAAAATGATATTTCTGTTACAAAATACAGCAAATAGTAAGAATAAAAATAGAACCAATAATTCATTGATTTAAACACATTTTTATTTGCTTCTTTTACTTGACTTAGAAATAAGACATTTTATTTCTATTATTTTTGTGCAAACATAAATCGTTAAACATTACACATTCTTAGCATACGTGCAGTAATTAGCGTACGTAAAATGCATATATGTTGCATGACGGTAATGTAACGACATGATGAAAGAATGAAAGAGTGTATGTAGAGAAAGTAGAGGATTGAGAGGAGAACTATGAGGGTGAGGGTGGTCGAGGAACGTTAGACGGTAATTTTATTAATACACTACAAATTGGCTGAAGCACGTTTTGCGATACCACACGATGACCGTACAGCAATTATACCTTGGCCGAAGTTTAAGTACTCTCATTTTCCTCTCTTCTCCCTTCCATCTCCCTTAACCTCCCTCTCCTTCGTTTTTGGTGATTTTTAGATAATATATATATCCATTTCCCATCACTGGAAGTTCGTCATACTTAATCGCAACATTTTCATCGTTAAACTCAGAACTTTAGATACTATAACTATGACTGCAACCGATCTGACCAACACACACATATACATACATATATACATATGTACATACTTGAACATAATGCGCGTAGATATTTCTAAATGTCTGCTCGTAAAATCCTCTTCTAGTAACTTGAATTTAATAGAACGGCTAAGATGTTTTCGTACTTAATGATCCGACGTGATAATTATCTCGAAAGATTATCTACCGAGATAATTAGATCGGTTGTGAGGAGTTCATGCTTGATCTTTATGCGAGAAGATTTCTGTCTCTTTCTTTTTCTCTTTAACTACTCCCTTTAGAGAATTTAACGATTGAGATGGGTGATTTGATCGTTTTACGTGATGCCTAATTCGACGAATATATTTCATTTCATCTTTCTTCAACCTCGATCATAATCTATTTTAACATTTATTTAGATACATCTAAGAAATAAATGTTATCAGATAAATCGAATTTTTGTAAATAAATTATTCAAACGAACTGACTACGATGATAGATAAAAATGTTGAATAAAATCTGTTGTAAAAAAGTAAAAAAAAAATTGATTAACCGAATTCAATTCGAAGAAACGAAATGATCACGATGAAAGATCCAAATGTTGAAATAAATTTTTAAATTGAAATTTGTATTTTTTTGTTTTAATTGAAATAAAGTTTTTCTCTACTTTTCTTCTTTTTTTGTATTGGTTTTAGGTGAAAATCTGGTTTCAAAATAGACGAGCAAAAGCGAAACGTTTGCAAGAAGCGGAACTCGAGAAGTTGCGAATGACTGCTGTGAGACAACATCACACGGCTCTTTATGGTTCGCATCCGGGACTTCTACCTGCCGGACTCTATCCCATGGGAATGCTATCTCATCCTGGGCTGACGCCTCATCATCCGATATCTCAACATCCTTCGAGAGAATGAAACTAACGTCCTAGAATCTATGATTCCAAACTTGTCCTTCTTATCTAACAAGAGGAATGACATTAAACGGGTATTCTGTGTACCCTTTGGATTTTCCTTCGAAAGAACAAAAAAAAAACAGCCACTGGATTGTTTTCGATTATTTTTCTTATAGAAAAAAAAAAACTCAAAGAAGATTTTTAATCTAACGATACACAAAAAAACTCTCCATCGAAAATGATGAATTATTTTCATTTTTTGTTTTACTTTAAAAATGACAAAGTAAAATTACTTGGAATATCGACGATCCGCAGTTGTGCCAATTGTTCCTTTAGAAATAACAAGGAATGAGACTATAATGACTAATAATAAATCCTGTAAATAAACTGTAAATAATTTGACAAAAGGAATGACAAGAATAAATTGTAAATAAAAGATATGAATAATGTGCGTGAGAAAAAAAAACAGTCAATGCGAATCGATTCGAGTTGTTAGAAAATTGAAAAGAAAAAGAAAAAGAAATAAATCGATTTTGCTCGACTGATCTCAACTCTACGCGATTTTGTGTTTCTTGTTTTCCAATTTTGTACAAATGTAGATATAAGTGACGCGGGGAAAGAGTAGAAAAGAATTATTTAATAAATCCTAATATCTAAAAAACGAAAAAGAAAAAACCTTATTCTTTTTTTAATAAAACACACTCACCAACTTATTCCATATGATATTCGTATATCCAACTAAAAATAGAAGAAAAAAATCATTAAAACAAACTCCCAAGTATTCGAACACCTTAAAGAACACCAATAAACAAATTCCAATCCTTAACAGTACCATCAAAAACAGAGAAAAAACTCAACGCATATATAAGAATTCTAAAAATGTGTCCCATCATAGGTGTTCCTCAGTTAACTAACCATTTTGACGAGTTTCTAAAAATTTAAAAAAAAAAAAGGAAATAATATACCCCCATCTAAAAAATAATTAATTGCAGATAAGATACTTAAATACCAGGTGTTCCTCAATTAACCCACCGACCTGAGGAGTCTCTAAAAATTTCCCCCAAAAAAAGAAAAAATGATAAACCCATCTTAAAAACGTCATGGCAGATAAGAGATCGGTAAGAGGACCTGAAAAGTTGAATACAAACCTTGTAGAAAGTCTTAAAAGTACTTTGATGATTAGGTTTATATACTCGGTCAAAAGATAGACGGATTTTCTTCGTTCATTCCATCCTTGCTTAGTTTGGAGTATCCTCTGAAAAAGCGATTAGACCTTGCCGATTACTTGGTATCGGATAATGGCGTCTCTGTGCGTATATGTCGCGGGGATAAATTAGCCGTGGCAATTAGTTTCGGAATCGACCGCCCCGGGCGGTTGGCGCCACCATCTTGATTGCAGAGTAAGAGTAAGTACAGAAGTGGAGAGGATGAAAGAAAAGAGGTAAAAGGGATAGAGAAAGAGAAAAAGAGAAAAAGAGAGAAAGAGAGAAAGAGAGAGAAAGAGAAAAGGAGATAGGACTTAAAGACAGTAGCGAGCACTGTTTGCCGAAAGGCAAGCGAGTCGGTCCGCGCGCGGGCTAATTAGCGATGCCCACCGAGATATCGTCGACGTACGCTAATAATACCGGGCATAAATATTCCCAATTTTTTTCGTCTGCCACGTTCTCTTCTCCATCTCTTTATTTGCTTTATTCCTTTTCTCTTTCTCTCTCTCTCTCTCTCTCTTTCTCTATCTCTTTCTTTACCATCTTTTTTCATCCCCCTTTTACTTCTAACCCCCCATTTTATTCCTTTTGCCCACGTATACACGAGTATTTGTTTATTTAATATCTATTTTCTTATTATATCTACAACAATTTATTTTATCCTTGATTAATACCGTAAATATTTTCAATATTTTTTGTTTTTATCTTTTTGTTTATATTTCTTGAATTGTTTTATTTCTCTTTCTTTTTCTCAATTTGCCAACTCCGTTCATCTCGCTTTTGTCACGTGCTCATATTTGTTTATTAAATTTTTTATTTTATCTAACGATTGTTCGTACTTATTTTCTCCATCTTGGTTTACCACCCCCATACGTGTTTGAATTTAATCGTGTAATTAGTCCATGCTCGCTATTACTCTGGCCTCAATACTTTTTTTTCTTTTTGTTTCTTATTTTGTTAGTTTTCTTTTTTTTTTTTTTTAACGAAAAGAAAGAGAGAAATGCAGGTAGATGATATCTTGGAACGATACCAAAGTCAGCTACCGGGCTTGTTAGAATCGTCCGAGATACTACCGTACGACTACACACATACACACACACACACACACACACACTTATAATATAAAAGAGAATACCGGAAAGGTTACCATGTGTGTTTCAGTATGCGGAATCCTTGCTACCGAGAATTTTTAACATGCTTGTTGCCCTTCAAGGGAGAAAAGATCAACCGATTTCGATCGATGTCCTTCTTGTAACCGGAATGAAATTGTATTTAATCGAATTGTGATTTAAAAAGAAAAAAAGAAGAAAAGAAACAGAAAAAAGAAAACACGAAAAGACGAGGAAACCCAGTTTTAAATGTATTCATGAATTTGAATAGCAAGATGATGACTTTATCATCGATTTACCTTACCCGACTTCTCAACGGTTTACTTTACCTTTATTTTCACTCATTTGCTATGAACGTCGGACTCGATCATGGCAGGGCACACGTATCGAACAGGCTTGTTAGTCCTAACGACGACGTAAGACCGAGTGTCCTTATCTCTTAACAACCCTTCCTTGAAGTTGACTCGTCTACGAGAAACCGTTACCATGTTCGGAGATCGTTAAACGACGATAAAGGATGGATCACCGATAACAATCTACCATCATTTCATAGGTCGTTAGTATTTTTTCAAATCATACTTTTCTATATCAATCCTATTGATCTATCTATAGTAATGTAGACAACTCAGTTAGTCTATCTTTTGTAATTTCATCACTCTTTAATGCGACCATTCAATCCCACCTTTTAATCTTTGATGAGAAAAATAAAGAAAAATAGAAAAATGATATATATATATATA